CTGTTAGAGTAATGGTTGGACCTGATGATCTTAAAGGTCTTTTCCAACCAAAATGATTCTATGATTCTATGTTTCTAGGACAGTAGAGGAGCCAGCCCCAAAACAAAATACAGCTATACTGACTGGCATGGGCAGTGCCATGCTGGCTTGCACTGATTTTCTTGACTCCTTCTCTAAGCCACTAGTGATAGGAGTTAACTGGAGCTGCTCTCTGATTTCTACACAGAGAGTGCATAGCAGGAGAAGTGTCCTTTCTCCTTCCGGTAAACTTCCATATTACTGTGAAATAAAGAAAATATACCTTGCTCAGAAAATCATGTTGGCTACCAGTGTGGATCTAGTCTAGAATGCTTTGCTTTTGATTTGTTCTTTGTGTAAAAAATTGAAAAAATGAAAAGGTTTGATTTGGTAATACAGATAGGACTCTTCAAACTTACCTGATGGGTTTTCTGTTTTCAGTGCTGACCCAAAACATTAAAAAGAAAAAAATAATTTCTTGGCCTTGTTTCATTAAGACAGATGTCAGCTCAGAGTAAGGATGACTATAATCAGTGCAGTATCTTTAGATATCAGGGAACATAGTTCTAAAGCCTGTTATCTCCAGAAAGATTTGTTTATTATTTGAAGTAACTTTCTGAGGACAAGAATTATCAAAGTCACCCACACTGGTTGCCTTTGAAAATAGAGTATTATTAGTAATAGTTCCAGTCTTACAAAGAGGAATTTAGACAAGTGATAAACACTAACAGGGGTCACCTAAACATTGTCTCCCTCAGGAGGCATAAATTCTGGTAGAGGTGCACATGAACAAGAAATTTTTATAAGACTGTGTTTCATCTAATGCTTTTCATCTTGTGAAATATGTACAAAACATACAAGCTTTGTCTCTTGGCAAGTAATACCTGATCATGACCTGCTACTGTTGGTGTACATACGGCCCAAAGGTATGTGCTTCCTTCAAAGAAAACTTCCTTTCAAAGAAAACTATTAGAGTAACTTTGCTTTTCCGTTGTAAACAGACTTGAATTGCTATAGGGTGTGAAGCTGTACCACTGATGTGGTACACCAAAAATCCAAGAAACTAAGGAGTTAAGCTGATCTGTAGTACAGTAAAACACCTCCTACTCTTCATCCTCCCTCCCCATCATGTTTCACTGTGACATGTACTTTCTAGCACACTTGGTAATTGCAGTTCAGTAATACTCCAAAAAGACTAGTTAGGCAGTTGAAATCTTTTTCATCATACTTATGCACGTGACTTACAATCACCGCACTAGCTTTGTAGACACTAAACATCTACAATAGTTCAGGAGTTATGGATGTTGAGGTGAAAATTAATCCAATAAAAGCATATATTGAGAAAGCAGAAGGGGATAGGAATAGTTTGTGCCATGTGGTAGGTGTAATAACAAGAGGAGTCCTAATTTATGATGCCTAAATGAAATAGGTGAGAGTGTAATTTCCCTTTGCAGGTACTTAATAGCTAATGAATATAGGCTGATTGCCTATGCAGCTAGTGTTCTTTGGAGAAGTCTGTGGCTAATGTAGAACATTTGTGCCAGGAAATGCACCCTGGTCCAGGGCATGTGTTGGAGAGTGGTTTGTATGCAGGCTGTGCAAGTCTAGCATTCTTTGGAAGGGATTGGCTGTCTCTGTATATGACTATAAAATGTGGGACCTGAGCAAATTATCTTCTCTAGCCAGTTTTCTTCACCAAGAGAACTAGTGATTTTTCTCCAAGCTGAACTTGGGGAGCAAACTAAAATGCATTATAAATCACTGAAGGACTAGAGCTGTGGAGCAAAACTATAGCCTGACCAATTTGATAGTACAGACTGTACCCTAACTTTCACTGTGTCTTCAGAGGGTAGTACAGCTAAGCTCATGACACAAGCCTGTCTCATGCTTAAAACGAAGTGGGTTGAACCCAGGCACGAGTACGTGTTTTGCAGATAACATTGAGAAAGCCTTGATGATGCCTACACTGTCTGCTTGCAATAAGAAATAGCCAGTGGTTAACAAGATTCTCTCAGAAATACAGTGTCATTTCCAAAAGGCTTGGTAAAGCAGCCACGCTCGCTCTTGCCAAGCCCACTCTAGAGCAGCTGCTTCAGAATTTATTTTTCCATCCAAGTAATAAAACATAACTTCGTCTGAAAATTCCACACTTGGTATTAATCTCAGAAAGAAATGTGGATTTATGGTCCTTTTAAAGTTCATTTTAGACTATAACCCTGCTTGCGCTATCGGGCACCTGTCCAGTAACAAATTTTGTATATATCATTACACTGTAACTGTTAAAGTATTCTAACGTGTGAGGTTCTTTGCTTGTCTGACTGTCTGCTTTTACTGTAGCATTAAATAAGCATTTTAATTCCTATTTTTGTAGTGTTTGGGAGGTTTGCTGGGTCACTTACGTAACAAAGTACTTTGATCTAATCTCTAGAATAGAGATTAGTCCCTTGTGCCAAGTCGGATTTTCATTGTATAATGTCCGTTGCTGCCAATGAATTATGGTCAGCCTGGACTTCCAGTACATGATAGAGCAGACGTGTTTGCTTTTATTTGATTATTAGTCTCTTTTGACCATTATTGTAAGGATAGAAGTTCTGTTGATCATGGCAAGTTAGTACGTAGTTAAAGATGATGACTAAGAACAAAGAATTGGTTTGACTTCCTTTTACTTTTGGAGTAAACACATTTGTATGGAGAAGTCACTGGCAAAGATGATTAAGAAAAATAAAGATAAGAGAAGAAATGTCAGTTGGTTTGGCTTTTTTTTTTCCAGGTTACGCGTTCCTCCTGTTCCAAGAAGAGAGTTCTGTTCAGGCTCTGATTGACGCCTGCATTGAAGAAGATGGAAAGCTCTATCTATGTGTTTCCAGTCCTACTATCAAGGACAAACCAGTGAGTAAACAGTAGATGGCCTGCAGGCTATATCTGCCATCTGTCTAAAGCTGCATTTGAAATGATGATGATGAAAATAATCAAAAGCAAACTACTGTTGGCAGAGCTCAACATCTGGAACAGTTGGATGATTTTAAAATGGTAGCGTTTTGAATTAATAGGATTAAAACAGAGCACCTAGACATGCTAAGCTAATGGTGTTATGACTGTTTGACGGTTTACATAGGCTGATGAACATATATTCACAATGTAGTGAAACTTAAAGTAGCATGCTATTTCATTTCCCAATTTAACAGGTTCAGATTCGTCCCTGGAATCTAAGTGATAGTGACTTTGTGATGGATGGTTCCCAGCCGCTTGATCCTCGAAAAACAATTTTTGTTGGAGGAGTCCCTAGACCATTAAGAGCTGGTAAGTGTGATCTGTGGCTAATTTTAAAAGTAGGAGATTATTGTAAATAACTTGAACGATGCATACTTTTGTATAGTTATGTATGGATACAGATAGATAGATAAAAAAGAATAGAAGTCGGTCATGACAGTTATAACCACAGTAAATATTCATATATTCTTACATTTCTCTAGTAACTGTTTTCATCTGGATTCGGCCATAATTCACGAGTTGTCATTGACATTTACTGGAAACTACTAGATGTCTAAAGCTGTAGAAAAGATTTTGATCATATTAGCAAAACTGTAGTGTAAACTATGTCACAAAAGAGTTTGTTTTTAAAATTGTGCTATGAAAACCTCTCTGCCATGCTCCATGAGCACGTGGAGCTCTATTTGTACTTGCTTGTCATTGTGCATTAGCTACTCTTCTGCTGCTATCAGGTTGCAGTTACTCTTGCAAATATGGGCAAAGCAGAAACAGAGGTGATGAAGGGATACTTGGAGGATTAGGAACATAGGAAAAAAGGAAGTTCGGAGAGCCAGTACAGTCTGTGTGGCACAGCACTGTATGAGATTGCAGGACTCTTTCGCCACTGTTGTCAGAGTGCTTGAAGGAAAAATTAAATGTTTCTGTAGCTGTGGAATGGTTGATCTGGAACCTGGGCAGTCTGCTTTGTGTGACTGCAGTAGCCTTTTACAATATTTTATGGTGGCCTTCTAGTAAGTAGGTTGAAGTGAATGTTGGAAGTGAAAGTATAACATAGAGCGGGTCAGATCCTCTTTTCTATTAGAATGACTCCTGGACTTAATTGTTACTATTATGGGAAGATGAGCTTTCAGATGAAAGATGTAGGAGAAACAAGAATTGATAATTAGTTCAAATTTGGTGTATAAAGAATGTTAATTTTTCTGTCATCTCAGACCTGCAGTGCTCAAGCTCTTCTGTTATTTTGCTTTTAAGACCGTACTTTTCACTGTAGTACAAGCTCTGTAAATGAGCATAAGCACAGTATGTTCCAACTGCAGATTATTTTTTCTTTAAATTCAGTCCAAATACTCCAGATTACTGTGCTGACTGTCTGTGATAAATTTAATGGATGCATTCTTATGTTTAGCTTTCAAATGCCCTGTATGTGTGAAAACAAAACTTTTATGGCATCGTGAAGTAAGAATCATGGCTTCAGAGAAGCAATAAAACTTTGGGAGACTTTTCAAACAACTTCTGAAAATCAGTGAACCTGCTGACACCTTTGTACCCTAAAACAGAGGATACTAATTCTAAAAAAAAATTAGTATTTTCCACCTAAATAAATTGCAAAACTGAATTCATTGTAAAACATTACTAGAGGATTGCTAAAATACTTGATCTGAAAAATTTTAGATTTTTGTTTCTATGAACTTCAGTATCTGTGGTACGTGTAACACTAGTCATAATCAAGCTCTGTGTGGCTGATGAAGAGATGCTACCTACATCTTTAAATTCAAGTAGCACATAGAGTATCAGGACAGCCAGAGAACGTGTACCAAGGAATTTGAGGCATGTGGATCTATTTTATACAGCGTACATTCCATGCCTGCCCAAAAAGTCTTTTGCTGTAATCCCCTGAAGAAAACTGCCCTGGAATTTCAGTTCCAGGTTATCAAGGACTGCAGGGACTTACAATTCTATTGTTCCTTGGGTGTATGTACCCACAGTGTGAAAGATCTGTCTGCTGAGTATTTCATTGCTTATTTGATATGCTTCTGTATTTCTTGTCATCACTGTTACATTGGCTGTTGCAAAATTAATTATTAAAATTAACTTTTCTAGTATTTTTAAATACAAGCATATTATATAAAGGTTCTACTGTAAGAACAATTTAAATGAACATTATTTTGTTTCTTAATAGTGGAATTGGCTATGATCATGGACCGTCTCTATGGTGGAGTCTGTTACGCAGGAATTGATACTGACCCTGAGCTGAAATACCCAAAAGGTGCTGGACGTGTTGCTTTTTCCAATCAGCAGAGTTATATTGCTGCCATCAGTGCTCGGTTTGTTCAACTTCAGCATGGCGATATTGATAAACGAGTAAGTTAAACAGAAATTAATTAAAGATGAGAGTGAGGATCTATAAAGGAATTTCTCAGGGTGTGGTAATGCTGCATTTGATTGGCTTTCATGCCAGCTTCTACATTTCTTTTCGTATTCCTGTAACTCCACTAGTTCCAAGAGTTAAGCCATGAATGCCCCCAAACGAATGACGTGCATTCCACAGAGCAGCTCTTTGTTCCTTGGACATATGTTAAACCATATGTTCTTTCCATTCTGGAGTTCCTGGTTTTGTTGTGTATGGGCAAAGGGCTTGAAAATCTTTTTCTCTCCCTTGTTCTAATGAAACCAAATACTGACATAATTCCTCTGTCATTCATAGGAAACTAGTGTTCATTGGTTTCAGATTAGCTTTATATTTGCAGCCGCCTTTAGTTTCAGCTGTAATTGTCAGTGCTCAGCACTTCAGAAAATCAAGCAAGCTCAGCACCTAAACCACAAAATGTCTTGTCTTTTGTTCGAGAATCTTCTTGTATTTACCAGTGTACATTTATGACTGCTAAAGATGCTTATTGCTAGCTAAAGCAAAACTATCTTTTATTATAAGACTAGATAACTTCATTACTCCTAATTAGAAATATAAGAGTAGCACAGAAAACTGGCATCTAAATTATGTGATTTTTAGTGTCACTAGTTTTGATGTCAAGAGCTGCAGAGGTAGTCACTGTATTAATAGATGTTCTTTTTTTTAAAAAAAAAAAAGCTCTTGAAGAAGGGTTGAGTAAGTAAAGTAGTTCAAGGTCCAGTCTCCTCTACAGATCAAAGACATGGGAAAAAGAAAGTAGTGCAGTTATAAAAGTCTGCTGTAGGGAGGTAGCATGTGCTTCTCTCCTTTCAAATAGAGTAGTACAGCTTTACATTTGTCTCTCAGATACCAGTTGCCTAGTGAGCTGAAATCCCCAAACATGGTCCTTTCCAGAGGCTGAGTGGGTCTTGTTGTGGGTAGTGAGCTACGCTTCACATTAAGATGCGACAGCTACGTTTTGCTGGTGGTATTGCTGTCCCGGTGACTTGCAGCTGACTTTGACTTATAGCTCTGTCTTTTGGCTGATTACGTAAGAGGAAAAACGGCCTTGACACTGTGACTGTGTGAGGGGAAATAAAACTTAATGATCTTGCATTTGAGTATGTGGACAAAATGGCCGTAAGGACCGGATTTCAGAACTCCTTCTGAAGAAATGCTAGATGGGTCATTTAGCTTCAGAATTGGGTGTAGCCTAGTGCATTTCAGGAACCATCTGTAGTGTATTTGGCTGTGAAGTGACCTAACTTTAAAATTAGAGATGGACATTTGGGTCCCATTCAAACTAGTTCTCCCTCAAAGGTGGGAGACATGGACTTGAACCCTGTAAACTAGGGGACACTTTTATCTTGGTCTTCCTGTTCCCGTGGGAATGTCCTTTGCAGTAGTGGAGTATATGATGGACTGGCGGTGCCATCTCGTAATAGGAAGGCAGGCACAAACCTGCCTTGAAGGCTGTACTTCCAAGTAGGTTTGCTTGTTGTTTCGGTTTGGTTTTTTTATGATAGGGCACCAGAGATTTTAAGGGCTTTTTGGATGCCAAGCAGGCGTCTGAAATGGCAGTGCTTGCTGTTTGCAGGGAAAGGGATGTACGTTGTTCAAGTGTGATAAAACACTGAA